TTACGCAGTTATGTGTTGCGCCAGTAACAATGAATATCATATCAACAATATAAAAACCGTCCAAACAGATATCATCACAGAAGTAAACAACAGTATTGTTTGAAACCATGGTAACTGTCAACTGGAAGTCTGTTTATATGCATATAGAAGTTGCAGACTAGCGACATTGTTACTTCAGAGTGTAACAAACCTTGGCGAGTGAACGTTTCGCGTGTGTAGTGATCAGTGAGAGCAGAAAAACAGCAAGAGATCAGGATGAACAGAAAAATCGACGTGTCGGGAAACCACACATTCTCTGAGGTGCTTCAGGCTAACGACATAACAAATGTACACGCCAACACTGGTGGCGCTCCTGCGACCTTTTCTGTATATTATGATCATAAAACTGGAACAGTTGACATTCGAATGAAGGTAGCTTCTCAAGAACAGACGGCTAAACGTTTGAAAGATACTTGTGATCACAAGCCGATTACTGGGCTGGGAAAATGTGAGTACTTGCCGCGGACAGGAAGTAGTGTTGTGGATGAACCTAGCAGTTACTGCCAATTTGTGCCTCTTGACATCAGCACACCCCATCGGAATGGTTCTAAAGATTCTACACACGGGTCCGAGGACATGCCTCTGCATGTCAGGAAAAATTATTTTCTTAAGCGACACCATGAGTCAGGAGATGTCATGGTTGAGGGTGGAGATAACGTCACACCGATGTAAGTTCGTTTTGCGATCGAGTTCAAGGCACATCACTGACAAATTAACTGATCAGCTGATGTGGTCAACTGGCCTCCCGATAAACTGATTAACTTTTTTGAGGGATTCAGTCTCTGATTAGGCAACGTAAGACCGGGCCAGCATAATCTAAACTTTTACAGACTAACAGACGGACTTAGGTTACTGAAATGGTTCAAAAACTAATATATGACGCAACAGAATGTCAATCAACACTCCTATAAACCCGGATTTGAGGCTGATCTTAAATCATAGTTAATTCCTTTTATTCCTTTTGGGAACATAGGGCTGAGATCTCAAATCATAGCACCCGATAAAGTTAAATGAAAATAGACTCCCGATTATCCATGTTGGTTGGTGAATATATGTACCCAGATAACCGAAATCCTGGATAATCTCCAAAATTAAATAGAAACACTAAAATCTAACAAATATTTAAGTTTATTTACAGACATGAAATGTCTACTATATAGTTAAAGATTTACTAGCAAAACTTTAAAATTTAATGCTGTGTATACCAAAATTTTTTAAAGGATCCCAATGGATAGCAATAACTTTCTTTTGTCGTAAACTAAACGTTTTGGCTACAACTGAATTATACCTCAAATAATGTCAGTGTTAAGCTTTCTTTGGGCAAAGCCCATAGGGAGACCGTATTATGGGCTGGCCATGTCTGTGCAGGAACAACTTGAGGAATTTGAACTACACTTGATGTGGAGTTTGGAGTTCGTTTGCGCTATATACGGAAACTCACAATTATACGTTTAAATTTCTTACGAGCGGTGATAAAATGGCGGATGAGAAATTCGTTTGGTGGGCTCAGGAGCGGCTGCAGTGGGAATTTGTTTGTTGCAATGGCGACCACTGTTTACTGTTTATGGTGGTTACTACGGAAACAGTGGTAAATAAAGACGTAAGCGACGATCGTCCAAGATGTTCGTGTTTGTTAATACTGCATTTTATTTGGAACTGCTTAGGTTAGAACAGGTCAGGACACGTTAGTTTGGCTGTGTTATGTTAAGTGAGGTTAGCTGAGTTAACACGTGTTAGGTTAGGTTTCTTTAGATTCGGTTAGGGAATTTTAAGTTAGGATAGATGTTTAAATACTAATTTTAAATATTTGAAAGTCGAATGTGAAAATTATAAAACATTAAATTCTTGAGTTAGAAATTTCTAAATTATTTTTTAACATTTTAAATTTAAGGGGCTTACAACATTTAAAAATTTAGAAACTTTAAATTAATTTTAAGTTTATTTCATAGGGCAAGGCTAATGTAATACCTCTTAATGCACGTTGCAAAGAACGCATGAGGGTGTTATTTCCGAGCTTCTTGCATTTATTTACTGACATTGTTAAACGATATAAATTTTACAACGAAGTTTCTAAATTGACTTTTAATATTCGTTTAAAGCTATCCTCAACCCGGTACATCTGCTTTCCGATGATCGGAATTCTTCTGTAAATTTGTCAATATATGTATCTGTAACCCGTGTTAGATGCGATTTAAAAAAATACTCGGGCATTTATTCTTTCTGACAGTGGCCAGACGCTGGGAGAATACCGAAAGTCCTACACAACTGCAGTCCAAGACCATTCGGAATGGCAGCCGAGATCAACTATTAGCAGCCTTATTTCCAACAGCGCTCGCGAGGACATCGTTGATGAAGCGTCTATAAGTGCAGCTCAGCGGGTTGAAAACCCTGCGGCTGATATACCAGACACGAGACCTCAAGAGCGTCCTAACCTAGTAATCCCACAGAATGAAGTTGCTTCCGCATCTGACGTAAGGCGAGTGGACGAATATTTTCAACCCATCACCAGGACGCCCACCACGTTGGAAATTGATGAAGACAGACAACAAACAAACGAAATTAATGACAGTGGGAACACAGACGGCCCTCTTAATTTAAGCAGAAGAAATTCAGAAGTTATGCGACAAAAACTACTTGAATGCGTTTCATCTCTGTTTGGAGATACGTATGACAAGGACTTGATGGAAAATGCGATCAGTAATATGATTGATATAGGACAGAGTTCTCAGGACCGCGATTGGCCCGCCTTAATATAACGAGAAGATGACGGTAAAAAAACGAAAATAAACGTCTGGGTCTGGACAACGCCGTGGGTTTTGTATGTAGAGGGTAAGAATTAATAGCCGCTGCTGAAGTCGTGCGGAACGTGCAGAAAATATAAAGGTGTTCTTGTGACAGGTCGACGATGAAACCTGAGTACTCGGTTGTGGAAAATTCTCAAGATGTTATAATTTGTATCCTCATAGAGGTGAGTACGAAGATGGCTGCCTTCTGGATTCTAGATGCTTGTGGTCTGGTAAAAGTTTACAAAAGTTTCAGAAATACTTGCTGCCTCCATGTGTAAGCCGTGCGCGTCTTCGTTTTCCAGATGGAGGAAACAGTCAGTCAAGGGAAAGACCTTAAACGACAAAAGTGATAGTGGAACCACGGTTCCGGAGAATTTGACGTAAATGTGTCTATAAGGAAAGGAAGTTTATATAATGGCATTAATCAAAATATTTCCTTTATTCATGCTTTACAATTGAGATACGTTTAATTAAAACATTGCTTATTCAACTTGAATTAGTTACGTTTTTAAGATGGGTCTGGGGTAGCTGAATGTAATGTAAAGTAATGCAATGTAATGATATGTAAGGTAGGGTATAACCTACCCTCCCCTTACATTACCTTACCTTACCTTACCTCACCTTACCTTACCTTACCTCACCTTACCTTATATTACATTACCTTACCTTACATTACCTAACCTTACCTTATCTTACTTTACCTTACCTTATCTTCCATTACCTTACCTTACATTACATTACCTTACATTACCGTACATTACTTTATCCTACATTACCTTACCTTACGTTATCTCACTTTACCTTACCTTACCTCACCTTACCTTACCTTACATTACATTACCTTACCTTACCTTACCTTACCTTACATTACATTACCTTACCTTACATTACCTTACCTTACCCTACCTTACATATCATTACATTGCATTACTTTACATTACATTCAGCTACCCCAGACCCATCTTAAAAACGTAACTAATTCAAGTTGAATAAGCAATGTTTTAATTAAACGTATCTCAATTGTAAAGCATGAATAAAGGAAATATTTTGATTAATGCCATTATATAAACTTCCTTTCCTTATAGACACATTTACGTCAAATTCTCCGGAACCGTGGTTCCACTATCACTTTTGTCGTTTAAGGTCTTTCCCTTGACTGACTGTTTCCTCCATCTGGAAAACGAAGACGCGCACGGCTTACACATGGAGGCAGCAAGTATTTCTGAAACTTTTGTAAACTTTTACCAGACCACAAGCATCTAGAATCCAGAAGGCAGCCATCTTCGTACTCACCTCTATGAGGATACAAATTATAACGTCTTGAGATAAAAACAATTAAAATTATAGCTTTTACGCCTGAATTTTTGTTTTTTGGATATCACAGATGTAGAAAATACTTTTATTAAATGTATGGTAGCAAGCATCCCCAGAATTAAGTTCCTTATTAATTTGAATAAAATTGTATTTCTTACCAACGGTTCGAATGAGCCGGGGTAGCGCAGTCAGTATAGTGACTGGCTACGGGCTAGACGACCGAGATTCGATTCTTCTATGGGGAAGAGGATTTTTTCTCTAACCTCTGGGTCCAGACCAGCTCTGGGGTCCACCCAGCCTCCTATCCAATGGGTACCGGGGTCTTTTCCCGGGGGTAAAGCGCGGCCCAGGCGTGACGCTGACCACTCACCCCGATCTAGTGTCGAGGTTAAGAATGAGTAGGAGCTTTTACTGCTATCTCCCCCCCAAGCACCTACATGGCATAGAGTGGGGCAACTTTACTTTTTTTACCAACGGTTCTAATTATCTGAACTTTGTCACATTTTGAAAGGATTTATTAGCCACGTGTATATTTGATGAATTTGTCCTGCAGTCAAATGACGAGACATGAACATGATTTTATCCTCGTTTCCTTCTAGACCAACTTACTAGCATCTACTACATCGTCTATGATTTTCTTTGTGATATTTAGGTTTTCAAGTAATAGATTAATATAATCAGCACAGCCCAGAAGATGATGCGACCCATTCAATTCCACCCCCTCTTTGTTTTCGTGGACCTTCCTGATGACATATTATTAGGGGAAGAAGATGCTGACATCAAGTGGTAAACTATCTCCTTGCTTCAGACCATTCTCAATATGAAATTTGTTATAAAAACATTTTCCTATATTTAATTTACCATAGGTCTGATTTAAACACATTTAATTATTCCACCTTCTTTAATTTTTATACAGGCTTTCTTCAAGTATGTAAATATCTAATACATAGTAGGCCACCATTGTCGAAATCCACACTATGGTTCCCAATAATTTCTCGATAATTACTACAGATTCATCACGCTTCTTACAAACAGGCCAAGTAACTGTTTTCTTATTTCAAATAAAGTAAATCTCAGAACGCAATGTATTATCCGCTGCTTGGATCAATTCTGTCGAAATGTGACTAATAACTGTTGACTTATACACTTCAATTGCTCAATGATAATGTGAACCTCAAAGACGTAGGCTCAGGTAGTAATGGCTCAGCTGTATGTATTTTAAACTACCTAACAACGTTATATACAAGATAATTCTTCAACCCGTTCAAAATGCCGTGTAAATCTGCAAGCATATCACCATTATCTTTTATCAAGTTACTTCTGGGTTGATAAATCTTAAGATACCGTAAGATGTAGAGAATTTTTTTACTATCTACCCTACTATAAGCTTGTCAAGAATGACTCTCTTCCTTGGAGTGTTATATCATAAGCCGCTGAAACATATCATAATCATACCAATATAAAATCTTCCACGAAAGAAAAACACTGTTAATTTCATGACAGCCGAAACAGTCAAATCATCTAATGTAAGATAGGTCTATCTCTTTGAGATCCCGATACACACATTTCTTCTAAAATATATTGCCTTTCTGAACTGTACAGACTTCACCAAGGTGATCTTGCTTATTAATTTATAAGTAAGCCTACCTAGTTTTTCGTCATGTCGACCAATTTTCCTTTTGCATTGCTTTTAATACACTAAAGTATTTGATATTCTTGGTGTTCGTGGATTTCTTCATATGTATGAGAGATTGTTAGTCCAACACCGAGTCCTCAGTCTTGAGAACCACCCATGTTGACTCTCTGCGGCTTCTTAATACACTCATCCATTATCTGGGGATGGGTGGCGCTTGTCGTGGTGACAAAGAATCCACTTTGAATGTTAAGGGCCCAGACTCTCATAATCAGATTTTTTACCAAGACGTTTTTAGGTTATGTTGATTGCTGTACCAACATTGGGAGCTTCTCTGGGAACCGGGGATTCCCATGGGTGCAGTCAGTGTTATGGACGTTGTCCAGAGAATTAGAACTGCTCTCCCGCACTCTCTCGCCATCCTGACCCAGCTGTTAACCCATCCTGCCCAACATGCCGCACTTTCCGAGTCTAATATAGCCGTTGTAACAATGAAGGGATTTTTTTCCGCTGTATGTGAGCGTGTAATTGCTTTGTGGCATTCAGAGTTCAGTCATATTATACAATGGCCCCTGCAGCGCAGACATTCCGTAATGCACATTACAGTATGCTGTAGGGGTGTCCAAAGATTTCGAAACCAAAACGAACACGTGGCTAAAGTGGTAATTTAATACCCACAGACCATAGATACCTGCTATAGTTCGGTCAGCTGATTCAGATGTTGGCAAAATGAGAAACTGGAATAAATTCTCGCAATCCTGCGCACAAATTCGGTACAATTATTAATCTAAAGGTGTTGGTACTCAAGCTTAAAAAATAATATGTATATATATATATATATACACATTTGTAATATAGCGGGATGCAAAATATAGTAATGCGAGAAGAAATTAAAACGTGAGACTGTGTTTTGACACAAAATATTCCAATTTTAAATTGTAAACTTCAGAGTTGTTGTGCGTTGTAATCTTTTGGTTGTACAACAGTGTTTCAGAGGAAGATATTGCCTCCGTCTTCAATGTTGATGGAAGCAGCATGTTTCTCCGTAACTTCAGTATACAGCTAGAATAATTCGAAGAATTCCAATTCAGAAGCCATCTGTATAAACTCTAATTTTGTCCGGGACCTACATCCCATGTAAAGACACATTTGATAAATCCATTCTGCTTGATATTGTAAAAGTAAATTTCAATAAATTTTGTTTTCATTTTCTTTTATATTTTCGCTATTTTTGTGAAATAAGATTCCCATGTATAGGATATATTTTCATGAAAAAATAGAACTTTTTGTATGTTAGGTTTCTTTTTCAGAATCATACAACGATCCTCTGTTCTTTTCAGTGAATCCTGATTTCATTTAATTTGAATCTTTCAGTGGACTTTTTTGAACCATTCTGGTCCCTGCGTCTCATCTATGTAGAAAAAAAATATAACGTTTCGAATACTGCATATAATTTGTACCACTTAGTAAAAAACTCTATAAATTACTTTATAATATTTGTAACATGTCATTCAGAAATAAACAGGCCTTCTTCTTATTTAAATAAGTTAAACCATCCTCACTCCGAGGCAAGCCAAATGCAGGGACGGAGATAAACGTGGCAGAATCTAGACTTAAAATGGCTATAGGAATTTAGATAGCCCAAGTGGATCCTCTTACTTTACGGCAAGGCGAGTCCTCAGGTTTCAGATGCAGAAGTCGGTATCCAAACATTGTTGGAAGCTGCGAATATGTTGAATAAGTAATTACTAACGGTCGGAAAGGGGCTGTTACCCAGTTTTTGGTTGAGCGTGAGACTAACAACGTTTTACCGTATGGAGAAAAATAAGTGTTAAGAAAGATTACAAAGAGGTCATTTAGGAGTCATAGAAGATAATATTCTAATGGATATTAGAAAAACAGACTGTGAAAATGCGGATAAAAGTCATAAATGTCTCTGTATAGGTCCAATGGCGGATCATTGTGGATGCGGTAATGAATCTTAGTGTTCCATAAGAGGCGGCAGATTTATGGGTTAATACGATTCTATGCCATGCAATTGGTAGGCATGTAGGCACCTGTTCACTATGCCTTACAGGCTTACTAAAATATCATTCATAACTAAAAATGTATGTATTTTTGTTTTCTGAGCTCTTATCCCAAGAATATGGTTACGCTACTGAAGAAGAGAATTAGGTATTTAGTTTAGCTGGTGTTTAAAGTAAAGTCTAAGTAACTAACGCAAATCCATGATGCAGAGTAATTCTTAAATGGCTAACAGGCAGGTAGTTCAGAAATGCTGCTTTCTTAATGTCAGTTTTTATAAAATTATCTCGACTACACTTGAGCCATTTCTTCTCCTCAATTCAGGTTTCCAAACCAAAATTATGTTCGCACTTGTAACACTTCCCATACGTGCTGCATACCTGTATCATCCAATCGTAAATTACTTAAACATCCCATTAATATTTTGTAAAGAGCACAAATTAAAGACCTCTTCATTATGCAGGTTCTTCACGCTTATGTAAAAATAATAACATTTAAATTAACTTCTAGAAAATTATCACCCTAGAGACAATTTCTAAATCATGTAATTACTGTTACAGTGACAGAGAGCTCGACAAGCAAACGTGCCTTACAGCCACAAACAGAAAACGAAAGACTGCCAGAACGTGTTACTGACGGGCAGATTACTAGCAGCAGTAACCCTGTAATAGACTCCCTAAAAGCAGATTCTGTGGGGTGTAGTTACTACCCATCTTGTCGGAAATGTCACTCTGAAGCTCTGTCCAATTATAAATCTTCTACTTTGCTTCAACCGTTATCAAGCTTATTTACACAACACAGTAGACCAAATCACTCAGTTTCTCAAAGTACGATCAAGCAATTTGAACACTGAAGAAGAAGATAGTAGAACCAACAACAGTTTGCTAGTATGGTTTTAATTTTATTCCCCAACACTCTGCTATTCCCGTAACCCAAAACAGAATGTCAGAAATTAAACAATGTTCGGTCTCATAATGAATTCTTTTCGGGCTACCAGCAGTGTCAGGTGGTTTAATGGAGAAAACATTAATATTTCGAGAACCATCTTCGTCCTCGTTCTCGAAACGTTGGTGTTTTCTCTACTAAACCACCTGACACGGTTGGTAGCCGGGAAAAATTCATTATAGGCCCACTTCGTCGCCGTGAAATCTCCAGTTCATACAATATTCTGTCTCACTTTTCAAATCCAAGTCCCTGGTAGCAGAACAAGCAGGTCCAACACCGACAACACCAAAGCCCGCCATCAGCCACGAGAGTCAACCCTATACATTTATCATCCTAAAAAACCAACTCCCTAAGATCCATCTTGATGTTATCCTCCTATATGTTTTGCCTGCCCAGTGGTTGTTTTCCAGAAGGATTCACCACTAAAATTCTGTATGCACCCCTTGTCACCCCTATGCGTGATACACGTCCAGCCCAAGGGAGCCTTCTAGATTTCACTATCCTCACTATGCTAGGTGACGTGGACAATTCATGCAGGTCCTCGAAATACAATATTCTAAATTCCCCATTTATTTCAGCCTTCCTAGGCACAGATATCTTCCTGAGCACTTTGTTTTCAAACACTTTCAATTTACGTTCATCCTTAAAGGTAGGAAACCATACAATAATTTATTCACCGTCTTTACACAAGCTTATAGATTGTTAAAATCACATAAAATTATAACATTTCAACATTTGATATTGTTACATTTTAAAATGACGACATGTTTCGATGTTCATTCCATCATCGTCAGGTCTATCAATCAAAATTAAAAACTGTTGCATCTGCTGCTCTGCGTATACTGATTTTGTTCTACCCGTTAGATTTTATTTGTTTAACCTCCAGGCTTCTTCCATTTAATTTTGAGGGCTGCGCCTGGATGCCTTAAATCTGCAAAATCAATTTTAATTTTCATATCGTGATCCTGGCTACTGACATAGGAAATGGAATAATTTTAAAGAATTACTCAATATATCGTAATACAAGCAAAAGAAAAGTAATCACAAAATATTTAAAGTATTATAACATACCGGGTTGTGTGTGAGGTGCGTGTCCGATATTACGGAGCTGTAGACTGCAACTAAGCTGTGAGTATCGTGTATGGCTATATATATTGGGTGAAAGTTGTTTAGGGGGTTGGGTCGATGGACTGTAGAATGTTAAATATCGGATTGTTCGTGTAGATGTTACTGTCGTTTAAAGCAAGGTTTTGTTTATGTGTTCTTTGTATATGATATTTTTCTATGGTGTCTCTATGTCGCTTGTTTTGTATTATTTTTATATCCATAGTTTTTAATTTTGATTGATAGACCTGACGATGATGGAATGAACATCGAAACATGTCGTCATTTTAAAATGTAACAATATCAAATGTTGAAATGTTATAATTTTATGTGATTTTAACAATCTATAAGCTTGTGTAAAGACGGTGAATAAATTATTGTATTAAAGAACACAAGCATGACGCAATTAAGATATAAGTAGGAAACCATGTTTCACAACCATACGAAACAACAAGCAAAATTATTCTTTTATATATTCTGATATTTAGTGTTTTGGATAGCAGACAAGATGATAACAGTCTTCGAACTGAATAAAACAAATATTCCCCAAATGTATTCTACTGTTAATTTTATCAATGGCCTCATTTCCCAGATACTTAAATTTTGAAACATTTTCAAATAATGTGTTACTTATAATTATGTTCCGCCATATGCTGATGCTGATCCCGTATTACGCCCATGTATTTAATTTTGTCTAAATTCACTTCTAGGCCTATTTCTTTGCTAACCTGTAGGGGAGTTTCTGCATTCTTGGTTACGGTACCCACCCCATCCCCCAGCAAATTGACATCATCGGCATAGGCAAGTACTTGGTGCAGACTATTCAATTTGAGCCCTTCCTGATTACCTCTGACCTTCCTGATGACATGTGCTAGAGCAAAATTAAAAAGCATTGGAGATAAAGCATCCCCCTGTTCTAGACTATTGCGAACTGGGAACAGATCGGACAGAAGGTTACAAACACAAACTCTACTAGATACCCCAACCATACACATCTTACTTAACCTAACAAGTTTATTTTTCTATCTAATTTTTCAAATTCTGTAGAGTGACGTAATCTGTATCGTATATTTCAGGATACGGGCTCACACCCACCTTTTGGTTATGACGAGATTTAATTTGGTGGTCTTTAGAGTTGTTGCGCAGTGTAGTCTGGCAGGAGTTTACGGACGTTTCAGATATTCTTGCTGCCGCCATCATCGGGGTGATGAATAAATAGGTCCAATCTGTGGTCAAGTGAATAATGTTTTTGTTTTAAACAGCTGCTGTGTTGTTGTTTCATAGAAGGTCTTCAAGGATTTACAAAACCAAGT